ATAAGTAAATATATTTTTATAGAAGACGTTGAAAATTGAAATCAAAAAAATTAAAATAAAAAATTTGACGTAAAAATTGAAATAAAAGTTAATTTCTTTAATATAAGATAAATATAAATTTACCGCGCGTTTTAAAATAATAATAAAATTTGATTTAAATGATATTTATAGCTTGTATTAAGATTCTAACAAGATTGTTACTACAAATTAAAAACCTATCTTAAGAGAGAAGGAAAGAATAAAAAAGGATATCAATATTCATTAAATATTCAGGAAAGATAATTTTCGATCAATTTCACGTTTTGAATTTTTGCGTGCATAAAAATAAAGATTAAGTATCATACAAATAAATAAATTTTTCAGGAAATTCTCAAACAGAATTCTTCTATTAAAATATAAAATCGAGCTAATATTATTCGTATCTTATTAAATGTCGATTAAAAAATAAAGTGACAGTTTTTTAATATCTCTTTTTTTATTTTTTCACGCTGCAATTTTATTTCATTCTGCAATTCGCGAAGGAATGAGCAATGTGCGAATGATTTTCACAAAGTTTCACAACATTCACACACCGGAAGCGCGAATATATTGCACAGCCAGGTTAGTAATTGCATAAAGGAGAAATCTCAGTTTCGATTTCGTTAAGAAAACCGCTACCCACTGATATGGATCCTATCGCGCTTTTAATTAACAAAAAAGATTTCCATTCTCGAGTAAAATCGCGTTAGAATAATAGTGTATAAATTTTATGAATATGTACATTTATTTCCCGATTAATATAACGTGGAAAAGCTAACCACATTCAATATCGGAAAAATGCAGTAATTACATAATTCGCGTTACATGATTTTTCACGTTATACGATATAATTACGCACAAATTTAATATTTTATGCACACAGTCTGGATATTAAATTTATGTTTAATCCTCAGAGTTTCGAATTATCGATTATAAATGTAAAGTAAAATCATAGACAAGCCCAACAAAGAACATCTTTCAATGTTCAATATACGCACTTTACAAATTTTATTCTTTGTTTGTTAAATTAAACTTTAATTTTTAATATTAAAGTCTCAAACTAAAATCTAGTTTAAATAGCCACAACTTCAAAATATCAAAATTTGATTGTTTAAATTACAAACAAATTTAATTCTTCAATAATAATAAAATTCGATATTTCGTGAAGATTTTGATATAATTTAATAAATAAATTAAATTTATTTTGGGTACTCACATGTTATCGAAGTATCCATAAATGCTAAATCGTAGATAATTTCAACGAAGAGTCTCGTGTGATGTATCTACTGTCAGGTGGACGCGCCAACGTCATCTGCTTTTAATTATCATTTTCTGCAGCTCGCGTATTGTCTGCAAGCAAAAAAATTTTATTTTGTTTAAAAGACTTTCGTGAGTTAAAATTCTCTCGATAAAACCGACGAGTTCGCGGTTATCCATTCGTTTCCTTATTCGGTTCCTTATTGCGTCCCTATTATCCTTGTCGTAACATGCTCTCTGGCCTACCTAACTGCGGGCAAACGCAAACATATACGTATAGTATATTACAGCCTGGACGCTTCCTAGGCTCATAAAAGAATTTCTCCGATCTTTTTTCCTTTGACCGTATTACGCAAAATCGATGTGCGAAAACCCCTGAGCGAACATTATGACGTAGCTTTCTCGTACACGTCATTACATTCGCTATTTTAAATATTGTTACGTCAAAGACTGCATAATACTTCTATCACGCTAATATATAGGTTACATTATAATTTAACATCGATATTCACGATGTAGGCGTAAGACAATATAAGAACCATTCAAGGTTTATTCAAGATAACGGAGACTTTTTTAATAAAATCCTACGGTGTTGTTGTCTGTATGACATAATATTGTTTTAAATAAAATTCAATAATGCATTTCTTATTTCGTCATCCATTACCATAATTCTGTATATAAAAAGAAGTTGTCGCTATGCTTATAGAAAGAAATATAATAGCAAAATTTTGATTCCAGCTCGTAAAAAAAATGTACGAGCAGTCCTTAATACATATATAATAACTTAATATCTCCTAATATATAAAATAATTTAATATATAATAACTCTATTTTTTAGTTTCTTACACGATTAATGAAAACATTGAAAATTTGCCATTGTACTTCTCGTAAGATATCTTATTGTGTTATGCAGTTAATAGAATTGCTTACTAAAATTCTAATTTGATATACAATGTATAATATCGAAAGGCATTAACCTTTTTAGCATCCTGCAACGTCGTGGGAACGTAGTGGGCATTGATCGCTTGCGCCATAGTACAGTAGTCACGATACAAGATATATTGATCCTTCAAACTCTGTTTGATCGCCGAAACTCTCTCCCGAAGCATGATATGCTGATCGTCCGGTTTTGATTCCAAGTTGATTGCGTCTAGAAAGAAAATATTTCATTTTCACAAAACATGCATAAATAAACCAAAAATATATTCATGTATAGAGAATATATATTAAAATATACTTGTGCGTGCATTTGTAACGAATGTATCTGAATGCGAAATATATTTAATATGTTCATCTTTATGTGCTCTACATTGCTAGATCCGCTATTAGTTTACGTTCTCATTGTTCCGATACAATGCGGATTCCTTCTATTCAATGCAATTGTCCCTGCATGCGTCGCAGCATGGCTAACTGTACTCTTCGCATTCAATAAAATATGTATAAACCGCGCGAAAAAACGAAAAAGCGAAATGTACGAGAGAATATGCAGAACACTTTTAATTAAAAATAAAAGACAAGACAAAAAGAAAAGAATTCGATCTACTTATCAATAGAATATATGAAATAAAATATAAAAGCCTAATTTTAATGTATAGATATTCAACAAAATATAATTTTTTTTAGGAAATTAATTCATATAAATTTTTATTTTACCAGGTTGCGTAAATTCTGCAATCTTCGGAAATTCCAGGGGACTGAAATAGCTTTGAGTAGAACCGGATTCCAGTTTTGAATCCTTCAGTTCCTGTAGATATTTTTGGAGATCTTTCCGTTCTTGCTGCAATCGCAGTTCGACAATTTGTTTCTCAAGTCCGAGCATTTGTTTCTCATCAAACCTTGAAGCCTTGTCTTCCTTACGACTTCCAGTATAGCGAGCTTGCGCCGACTTTGAATTCGTAACTTTAACGCTTTTTTTCTTCTTTTTCTGGCTGCTAGGTTTGCGACTATTACGATCATACTGAAAACATAAAAGAAAATAATGTTAGAGATAAAAAAAGCGATTTTTCTTGCCAAAATATATTATATAATTATCGTGTAATGATTTTTTCGCATCGAAAAAATGCATTAATTTAATTATCTTGAAAAAAAAAGAGATCTTCAACATATTGTTAAAAATATGGAAATATTTTCTTATGTATTATTCTTTATAGATGAAGTTAGATATTTTTACAACTGTAAAATGCATGATTTTGTACAAAAATTAAGATAATAAAAAATAATTCCGGGAAAGTTTAATTTAAATAGATTTAACAATAATCTAATAATTATCCAGAAAAAAATATACAGTACTAATACTTACTATTTTATTTTCCTCTGAAGAGCGGCGACTTTGGTTTTCTTCTCTCGGCATTTCTTTTCTCGTTTTTATCACATCTTTGATTTCAGATTTTGTTTTACTCTCGGGAGATTTTTCCGACGCTTCTTTCACTTTTTTTGAGCTCGCATGACGCTTGATCAGCGCATCATGCGCATCTTTATGCAATTTTCTCAACACATCTTCGGCATCCTGAGAAATGTGTTGATCCGAGCTCTTTTCTAAAACGTTTTCTTTTTCTATTTCATATTCTTCTGATAAACTTGATTTGATTATGTCCTTCTCATCCGCCGCAGGCGGTCCAGTGATATTTATCATTGCGCGTTCTCTTATTTTGTTTGATGCTTTCCCGCGCTCTTCCTGGCCGCTTTCTTGCCCAACAGAAGTCGTCCTGATCTCCGGTAAGTTTTTCTTCTCGTCTGTGTTCGTCACATCACCGACTCCGGTCAACGACTTCGACGAGTGAGATATCTTTTTATCGAAGTTTGTGGCTGAAAAATTCGTCAAATAGACCGCATTAGAATTTCTTTGAAACATAACGATAAAATATTTTTTATCGAAAAAGAATTTTTGAACACTAAAAAGAATTTTTAAAATGTTGATAATTTTTCAAGACGGCTTTTTCTAATGAGGAAAAATAGTTATTGGTTTAGCAATTGGCGTGTTATTTCAAAATTTAGTTAAAATGAATGTTACAAATACTTGAAAAATATTCTATTAATAAGATAAAGCAACTAATAATGACGCATATTAATCAAAAGATAAAAATTATTGATTATAAAAAGATAAATTTTAGAATTATAAACATTTTGTTTTATATAGATTATATTAAACATTATTAAAATAAATATTAATTAATTATTAATTATTAATTATTAATTAATTAATTTTCTCGAGAATATACATATCTCACAATAGATTTTCTCATATTGCAGCATTCTATCAAATTGGATTGACTTCAATATATATTGACGCTAAAATCAATTTATTTAGAATATATTATTTATTTTACCACTTGAAGTGTTTGTTTTAAACGACTCTGGTCGATGTTCTTGATAACGTTTCTCTGAACGCGAACTGGCGGATTTTGGCGATTTTATCAAGCGCACGATTGCGTTATCTAAATTTGCGTTGGCAAAATCATTGGCATAGTTGAACGGTTCCAAATTAATCTCGTTTTCATTTGGTTTTAAAGCCACGAGTTCGATGATGTGCCCCTTTCTGCAACCGAATAAAACATAGGATCTTTCCACACCGATGAAAGTTTGATAATTTCGAGAGTACACACAGAAAAATATTATTCTATTGCTAAGTAAAATGATTACTCAGTTTACTTTACTTCTTTTAAGTAACAGTTATCTTTAACAAAGAATATTTTCTTAATAATAGTCTTAAAATAAACTTGTCACAAATTTTAGAAATACTCATTATCATGTACTCAAAAAAAGTAAATATTTTCTTTTGAAGAATATTATAAAATTTTATCGAAGAAAAGTCAGATATGGTTAATTTAATGTAAGAAAATTTATTAGATCAGAAAAATTTAATGTATTTCTTTCAATTATATAATTTAATATTCTTGATTGAAGTATTAAATTTATTAGGATTCAGAATATATTTTGAATAAATTTGATGCTTATGATAAACTTATGATAGATTTGCGGATATATAAACTTATGAAATACTTGAAACAAGTAATATTTACTTGTATATAGTATGTATTTTTCTGTGTGTATCGACATTTTTCTATTTTGCATTCATGCTATTATGATTATAAATCATTGATAAGGATCGCGACATATATCACAAGCTGTTTGATCTTTTCTGTCATAAACACTACTGCTAACACTGTTCTACATGTTACAATATATTTCGAAAAGCAATAACTATCATTTGTATTATTCGTCTTTTATAAAGCTAAAATATAATTATTTATAATTCATGATTTCTAATAAATAATTAATATTTATTAATTACACTGGATTAAATTCAAAGTTAAGTTTTTTTTCTATTATTTCATATGTTATTTTTCATAAAAAATAATTCTATTTTGAAATTAGTAATAAACAAATTATCTCTTTTTTATTTTATTTT